GGCCGGTGCCAGCGAGGTGGCCCCTGAGCACGGGGAGCTGCGGCGGCAAGGGCTGGCGAGAGGAAGAGCCCGTTGCCTCGTCCCGGGGCGTCCCGCCGGCCGGCATCATGCTGCTCATCCTCGTGCTGCTGGTGCTGGTGCCCTGCCTGGCTCTGCTCACCTCCTTCCTTCTCTCTCCAGGAGGCAAAAGCGGCGGCAACAAGAAGAATGACGGCGTGAAGGTAAGTGCCCTCCCTGCCGCCCGCTCCGCGCCCTCCGGCCGCAGCGGGGACGGCCGGGGGCCCGCATGGCCGCGACGGCCGCGCTTGGAAGGGAAGTTGTTGGCCGGCTCCGGAGCGCGTCCCGGGCCCCGGCGTGCCCGGCCCCGATGGGAAGAGGGAGCATAGAGGTGGTTTTGCAGCGCGAGGAGTGCAAGGATAGAGCTGCTGCTTCAGCCAGGGAGCGAGAGGGGCATGTGGGGAGAATTTTCTTTAATTGACCAAAAAATGTCTGTGCCCCATGCTGCCCCTGGCAGAACGGGGAGGAGGAGAGAGGCTGAATGGAGAGAGGGAGGCAGCTTTGCACCTGAGCTCGGAGGCTGTGGGTTCAGGCTGGCAGAGCCGTTCAGGGAGCAGGGTCACTGCGTCTCGCCCTTGCAGGAGTCCTGCATCCCACGGGATGCCCAGCTGGAAGAGTGGGGAGCCATCAGCTCCTTCCTCGTGGCCCTCTTCCAAGCTGGAATAGGGCTCTTCCTGCAGAGCTCCAAGCCTGTCCACTGCCCTCCAAGCGCCCCATTCCTGGGTGCATTGAACTCTCCCACCACTGCTCCCAGCCCCAGCACTGAGTTTAGAGCCAGAAAGGATATACCTGTGTGGCAAAGCACCATAAATGATGTGGTGCTTGAAGGGCCTTGATCTTGGGTTGCAAAAAGTGCTGCAGATTTGCCCAGCTCTCTGCTTGCGGGCCACAGCTCTGCTCATGGACAAGGTGGGCTCCTGGCAACAGCTAAAATCTGCCTGCCCAACAGCCTGCTCTCTCAATAGAGATACGATTGGCAAGGGAATTGCTCATGTAAAGGTCTTTCTCTCTCCTTACATGTTCTCTAGGCCTCATGAATACCAGTACATGCTCAGCTGCTGAGAAGTTGTGTGATTACATATTTCTACCTTAGGGATGCGAGTCATGAGCTTTGGGAGCCTGCTTACAGCGAGGCCTCCCTTCTTTCTGAGGCCTTTTGTAGGGACCCAGGATTGAGTTGTGAGGGCTGCCAGGTTCTGGAAGAGCAAAGCTCTCAGCTGACGTCTCCCCTCCTTGGTCCAGTGTTCAGTGGAGCCAGAAGTCTGCTGATGAATTTTTTCTCTCCCACTTCTTCCACACTCAGTGGCTCCAAACCTGAGAATTGGCCAGGTGGAGCAGACTGACTGTGAGTTGTTGGAGTGTGGATAAGAGCAATCAAGAGCTGCTTTATTAAGCTGTGAAAGGACACAGGCTTCATCAGGTATGGTCCTGAATTTAATCTTCCAGCAGCAGGAGGCAGGCTTAAATTTCATTCCTAGCATGGCAGGGATGGGAATGGTGTTAGAAGACCATTTAACAGCCCAACATGCTAACGATGCTCTCTCTTGGCCTTGGCAGTAGAGCTTGAGGGTAAGTGTTATCCTGGACATGTGCTGCAGGTAGCAAAATAGTTGATTTGAGTAATGCCAAGGAATGCCCAGGAAGAGGAACGCAACGAAGGCGGAGGAAGGCTCATTCCCAACAGGTAGCTTGCTTTGACCACCTTCAGCATTAGTTTTCCTTACATCTCCTCGTTCTGCTCAGCATGGAGGGATTTGCAATGTAACTACCTCATGGGGGCACAAGAAGTGTGACAGGGAAGCTCATTTTTCTGGAGGAAGCTTTTATGACCCAACATGGGCAGCTGGCAGAAGTGAAGTTGGATTCATTCCTTATCCTTCCAGAAAAGCAAGGCAGGAGCCTGGAAGCCCCCTGCCACCCAAGGGTGGTCAACTGAGTGCATGTCCCTTGTACCCCACTGCAGAGGGTGGGAAGTTGGGAAGGTCCTGCCTTTTCAGTGAGCTGTGCTGCCAGCCAGGCCATGGAATGTGCTTGTCAGAAGAGTTGTCCCCATTTGTAGAAACCTGCTGGACTGGCTTTGCCCTGGGAGCAGGCAGGTCACAGGCAGCTGCCTCTGGAGCTCCTGCCCCAAGCCACATAGGTGGACAGCAGGTAGCAGGTGCTGTCCCTCCAGTCTGCCAGGACAGCCCTCCAACATCAGGACTCTGCTAGTCCAGGCTGAGAGGACTCAAAATTCACCCTTCTAAGGAGCTTCCTCCCCTACTAAAAGCATTCAGAAGACCAAAACTTCCCCATAAAATCAGTGCTGGGTGGGTAAGACTTCCTCTAGGAGGTCTGAGTCCCAGCAGCTATGATACCTTCACTGCCCTGTGTAGTGTCACATCTTGTCACATTGTAAACTAATGAAATCACTGCCCCATGTCACATCCTGTCCTGTCTTAAATTAATGAGCTCACTGCCCCATGTTGCATCCTGTTACTGTATGTCCAAACTTAACGCGGTCACTGCTTTGTGTTGCATTCTGTTGCGTCCAAAATTTCTGCAGTTTACTGCCCCATGTTGTGTCCTTGGTTAGCAGAAGCTGTGAGCCCTTCCTGCAGCTTGGTTCCTCAGACAGTGTCTCTCTGGCTGCTCTATCTCCTATGAGGTTCCTTCTGAAATACTGCAGCTTGATGTGCCCTTTAGGACATCTGCTATGTTTTGGAGAAGGAGGGGTGAGGTTCAATGTAGGACCCAGCGAGGGAAGGGAGAGCTCCACTAACGGAGGATGAAACTCAGTGAGGATGCTGGTGGGACCCACGTAAAAGGAATGAGTGGGACTGAACATTGGCAGTTTTTATCCTGCAGCCCATCTGAATGCCCTAATGAGTTGCTGCATGGGCGTTTCCAGGAGGTGTTCCCCCCAGAGCTGCTGCCTTATTAAACGTGCTGCTAAAACACGTATTTGGCACTGCAGCTTCCAACTGCTGCACACTGGTGCTGCCTGTTGCCTCCTGGGACTCCTGCCCTGGGAGCTGGAAGTGGAAAAAGGGCATGAGGCTGATGTGCACGGTCCTTCGGCTCTCGAGCAGATAGCAGGTGGAGGTGGAGAGCAGAACACAGGAAGGAAGGATGGTCCAAAGAAGTTTGGGCTTGCAAGCAGAATCTTGGCTATGGGCCCATCTAACCAAACGCCCTTAAAGCCTGGTGATGTTAGGGACGGGGATAGACACATGCACGTGTAAGGTCTCCTCTTTTGAGGAGTCTTGTCCTGATATAAAGGACTAGGATTGCACTCAAGGCAGTGGCCTGCATGGTGTGCCTGCATTTCAGGTACAGCAGCAATAGCCATGCTAGCTTCAAACCAGCTGGCTTAGTGCTGGAGACAAATCTAAGCCCAAAACCTTGGGGTTAACTGTTGCCTGAGGTGGTAAGAATTGGCTTGGCATTTTAGCATCCCACTCCTGAGACCTAAATTGTGTTCCTGTGACCTTGGTGGCATAGTTGCAAAGTCACCAAAGTGGTCACCTACCTCTAGGAGACTCCATTTTGAACTGGCCAAGGCCCCGGGATGAGCAGTAGCAGAGATTGTGGCAGGTCAGGAGAGAAAGGTGCTAGGAGAAACATGGGAAGGGCCTTGGATGGCACCAGCAGCACTGCAGCCAGTGGCACGTTCCTACAAGAGCCTCAGATTGGCCCGCTGCACCTTGTGTTTGCCCCTACACCAGGACCATGAAGACTGGCTCAGGAGCTGCTCCCTCTCACGTGCTGCTCTTTGCCTTTCTCACTCTGTGTCTCTTCCTGTTCCATCTCTTTTCCTTGTTTTTCCAGAAAAGAAAGTCCAGTTCCAGCGTTCAGTTAATGGTGAGTGTCCGTCGTCTTCCTCAATGCTGATATTGCTGGGCCTCTCAACATCTTCCAGCCTTCCCCCATTTTTGGAAGTTACCTCGGGGTAGGGACAAAGGGACACTGGGGTTGGAGGGACATCCTCAAAGCCGTATCACCCACAATCCCCATTAAAGGGTTGGTGCAGGCACTTGCTGGCCGCCAGCTGGTGGGAAGCCAGCCCTGGTTCTTGCTGATGGGTTCTCATGCCGTTTCTCCCAGTTCTCCTGACTCAGGTCTGCAGGCTGCATCGGTCCAAGGAGCCTTGGAGAAACACCTTCCATGCCTCTGCGGGGACTGTATGGTCATGGGACACCTTGCCAACCTACATCGGGGTATTCTGGGTAATACATAAGCAAGGCTCTGCTGGGAAGAGCTAGCAGGCCCATTGCTCTAGCTCCGCTAGCAGAGTCGCCTTGATGGGGCTCCTGGAGAGAGACGGGGGTCAGGACCCCCTCCCCAAAATCTGTGTAGTGCTCAGCTGTTATTGGAAGAGCTGTGTCTCAGCCTTCGGTGGTCCATGTGGCTCTTGGAAGCACTCTGTTTTACTGTACATTTCTCTCCCTACTCTACGGTCAGTGTGGTCTCTCTCACTCCTGCACAGTCCCCTCACTTCCTCTTTCTCATCCCAGTTCCTCCTCGCTGTTAATCTGTACATTTCTCTTTATTGTACGGTCAACGTGGTGTCTTCCACCCCCGCACAGCCCCTCTCCCTGCCCCTCTGGCTACGCTCATAGGAACCTGCCAAAAGGCCCCTTGGACCTGCCCTGTGTCTGTCCCCGCGGGCGTTGGTAGGAAAGGCACCACTGTTCCTACGAGACCCTCCACAGCCCAGCTCTTGTGCCCTTGGCTACGAGGTGTGGAAGTCAGGGAGGGCTCTGCCATCGCTACATGAGAGCTGTGGTTGAGGACAGGTTGAACCTGCTGGCGTTTTCCTTGGTATCTGTCCATTTGCACAGTCAAGCGTTGTGGGATCAGACTCGGGGGGCTGTCGAACACATGAGCTCCTGCTTGTGCAAGGTGAAGACTGGTCTCACCTTCCCATTTTCTTTCTGTTCTTTGCTCAGGAATCGTCGGAGAGCACTAACACCACCATTGAAGATGAAGACACCAAAGGTACCAAGAAGGTTGCCCAGGGAGGGAGGAAGGTTATTTCAGAGGGGCAGGCTTGGGAGGTTAGTCCAAAGCCAAAACCTACAGCAGATGATCCCTCTGGAGTATTCAGAAGCTGCTTTCATTCATCGTGAATGAAATGCCAGTATGGACTGAGGCCGATGCAGGTGGTTCCCCTGCCCATATGCTGCCATCAACAGTTGTGCTCTAGCACTGCTGGAGAGGAGGGGAGCACTCACAAAAATGGAAGAGTTCCTGAAAGCAGGCAAGAAAATGTCTGGCTCGGAGGAGGCTGTTCACACTCCCCTGTCATACAAGTGGCACTAGCCAGCATCTGGCCCACTTGGAAAGTTTGTGGTGACCCTCATCGTATCACATAGGGTGATCTTGGGATCAGTCAAATGTTTGTATGGATCTTTGAGGGATGCTATGCCATCCTCCTGCCCCCTTTTGCTTCAGAAAGGCAGCAAGTGGGAATGTCACTTGCTGGAGACAAAGTAAATGGCCCTTTGGGACCAGCCTCCCTGGGAAATCCCTTACTCTTTCCAACTCTCCTTCCCACAGACAGAGCCAGCTTTCTAAGAATAACCCAGACAATAATTTATTGGCGCTAATTTGTAAAGTCTGTCAATGAAGTGAACTCGGCACAAAGCAAGATGGACTTTGGCCTGACATCAGAGTTAATTGAACATTTGTTCTCCCAGCGCATGCATGCCATGAGTGAGGGCCCAGAGACAGAAGGTGCTCAGAAAAGGGCTGGGGCTCCATATCCTCTTTCATAAAAGACGGTCATGCATGAGCACTCTTTTCCCCTCCCATTTTATTACCCATGATAAAAAAAAAAAAAGGCATACCAGTTATTTGCATTTGAAACAGAGCCTCATTAATAAGCACAGAGTTGTCTCTGAGAACTCTCCTTGTCATCCAAGGGAGACAGACCCACTCACACAGCATGGCCCATGCCCAGATCTGGAAACGGAGTGGGAAGCCCAGGGAACCACCACATGATGGTGTGTCCTTTGCTGGCTCTCCCCTTGTTTTTTCTTGGGGAAAAGCTTGTGGGAGTTTGGCTTCCTGGGTCATTAGCCAGTTCAACCACATTTTCTCCCTAGCTGAGACCATTCTCTTAGATGTAAATGAAAGCATCCTCTGGCCCAAGCCTGCCCTGATGTGTCCCTGCTGAGAGTTTATAGCCCAGTATTGAGCTGAGACCAAGACATGCCATCTCTTTGTGCCAAGGGCAGCTCAGCACTTGGTGATTAACCCTCTCACTGTTCAGGAAGTGAGAAAAATAAAGGATTTAAAACAAACAAGCAAACAAAAAATCCCCTGATTGTGGAGGTCTCTGGGGTCTTTTCACCTGGAGTCCATTTCCACATCTCTAAGTCCTTTTCTGCACATTTTGCAATTCCTCTTGATAACCTGATGGTTCCCAATGGTCTCTTTTTAGGCAGAAAAAATGTGTCTGAGAGATTGCAGTATTAATATTTTGGTTTGTTTTCTCCCTTAAACCAACAGTGCGGAAGCAAGAAATCATTAAAGTAACAGAGCAGCTGATTGAAGCAATAAGCAATGGTGACTTTGAGTCCTACACGTGAGTGCGATGCAATTTTGAGCCGGGGTGGGAGCCTGCTGGTTGATAGCACCTGCTCCAGGAGACTGAGCTCGAGGGAATCATGTCACCCTGTAAAACTTCAGCCTGTTAGGTTTACTGCTGTCAAGTGCAGAATGGGAACATGGAGTTGGGGGACAGAGAAGATCCAAGAGAGTCAAGGGACATCTGCTTCCAAAGCTGAGGCTTCTTTCATGCTAACTGTGGTCTTATAACCATGGATAAGGCCATTTTCTCTTTTGCAAAAGATGAATAATTGTAGATGTGATTTATGATGGAGAAAGAAACATTACATCTATGGTACTCATTATATCCAGATTACCTTAGGTGCTTGGAAAGATTGCTGTTTTCAATGTGGGGAGCTGCTGCTGCTCGGTGTACGCTCCTGTACCCAAGGCCTGTTTGATTAGCTAAATTCTGAGTGAATTCAGGTCTAGATTCCTGCCTTAGAGAGCAACAGTGGGGATATTTCAGTACAGAGAGAGTTCATTTTTTTTCCTGCTGTTTTTTTTATCTCTTGCAAAGATGATACCAGTATCTTAGGAAAGTTTAATTGGACATGGCAACTGATTTGAATTCACCCTGTCTCATTTGAGGTACCCAGCTGAAAGGATGTAGCTGTATAGGCTTCCTGTAGAGCGCCAGGACAGAGGTCCTCTGAGAGCTTTTATAGCATCAGACTTCTGCTCTTAATTGCTTTCTGGAGAAACCTGTCTTTGTGAAATGCAGAGAGGGGCTAACAAAGCAGCATGGACCTTCTCCCACAACATCTCAAAGCTCTAAGTTCCCTGTCCCAAATCCTTCAGCTTGGTTTAGCAAGCACAGCCACTTCTGCATCGAAATGCCTCAATTTCAAACTAATTCTCTTGAGCAAAAGCAGTTTGGGTTTTGCAGAACCTTATTTGTGCAAGCTCTCATGATGGGACCTGTGAGGTAACCTCTCCTTTTTCTCTCCCCTTCCCTTCCTTCATGGCCTCCCTAGGAAGATGTGTGACCCTGGAATGACTGCTTTTGAGCCTGAGGCTCTGGGAAACCTTGTGGAAGGCTTGGATTTTCATCGATTCTACTTTGAAAACCGTAAGCACCTTCTTCCCCTCCCAAGTGACCATTTTCACCTCCCAGAGCCTGTTCTGTCATTTGGCATCCATCAGCTTGCTGAATAGAAGAGGGTAAGGGTGATTTGGGGAGCGTCTCTGAATCTCTGGCTGATTTGAAAGATCCCAGGAGAAGGTGGATCAAGGCTGTTAGTTCAGCTAGGGCTGGGATGGGTTGTAGAGGAACTATCTGGTTAACTGTTTTCCCTGTGACTAGCACGGGGAAAACAAAACTCCTTCCCTTGCCTAAGGCCACTTATGCTTGTCCCCTTTCCAGTGTGGTCCCGGAACAGCAAGCCCGTGCACACAACGATCCTGAACCCCCACATCCACCTGATGGGAGACGAGTCGGCCTGCATCGCCTACATCCGCATCACGCAGTACGTCGACGCGGGAGGGATCCCCCGCACCGCCCAGTCGGAGGAGACCCGCATCTGGCACCGCCGGGATGGCAAATGGCAGATCGTCCACTTCCACAGATCCGGGGCGCCCTCCGTCCTACCGCAGTAAGCCCTGTGAGAAACCAGCGCTGGGGGCTCGGTGGGGCCGGGGTCATGGGGTGAGCGAGGAGATGATGGGGGCTGCAAGGGTTCAGAGGGGGTGAAATGATCCCCCCCATCTGGCTGCCCAGAGAGGTTGTGGAGTCTCCTTCTCTGGAGATCTTCAAACCCGCTTGGACGCAGTCCTGTGCCACGTGCTCTAGGTGACCCTGCGTATGCAGGGGGGTTGGACTAGATGACCTCTAGAGGTCCCTTCCAACCCTGAGCATTCTGTGATTCTATGATCTCTCGTGGTGGGGCAGTGGTGATTGCCAGTGGGAGGGATGGCCAGAGGGAGCGGGAAGAGCCCATCAAACAGACAGCAAAAGTGAAAAAACCCTCTGCCCAATTTGTGTTTTCCAGCTGAAGTGCGGGTCGGCCTGTGTTGGGTTTGTCACTGACTCACTACCAAGGGGAGACCCCCTCCAACTCTTCACCCATGGGACTTTGGCTGTTGGCTCTGCTGCTTGTTTCCTGCTGGAATTCCTCTTGCTTATCACCATGAACACGCAATGGCCCCACTGACATGACACACATTGAACTGAAATCTCCATCCCACCTTTTGCAGCCAGCCCCACCGGGGTCTTTGCACTAGGCCCCCTTTCTCTGCATGAAAGAAGAGAAGAAAAATTATATGTATAAAATCAGCACTCTTATTTGGCCAGTGAGAAGAATCATGCCTGGGGTAAAGGCTTTCACTCACCACTGCATGGCATTCCTTGGCTCCTGCACATCCTCATAACCCAGCATGTCCCGTGAAATGGGACAGGACTTGCACTCTATCTCCATCCTCACCTCTGCTGAAAGTCTCAAAGGCCCCAAGGAAGAGGAGCCCATAGAGGCAGTTTTGAGCCACTGCATGCTGGCTGAGGCTTGGGTGACCCTCTCTCGGCACCAGAGGATTTTCATCTCTCTGCTACCACGGTCCCACCTTGATGCCATGGCTCCCACCTGCTCCCACCTTGGACTCTCCCCAGCCTGAGCTGTCACTTCCTGGTGGCCTCAACTGAGAAATCTCATCTTAAATTATCGCAAAATTCAGCTTCCAGGCACCGCTGGGTAAGGAGAGATTTGTTTGGATGGGTGAGTAAAGGCCTACCTTTTATTTTCTTTTCCCAGGAATGTAGGCTGACTCCTTCCCAGGAAGGGTGACCATGTTTGTGCCCTAGCCCTGGGGAGCTGTCCTACTGACAGGCAGCATGCTGTGTGAGCAGGGATGTTCTCCTTCCTTCCTCCCTTATCCCTCGGGAGCAGGGACTGGAGAAGCTGGGAGAAGAGAGGAAGAGTATGAAACCGAACGCTGCATCTGCCCCATGAAGGAACTGATGGCCACAGGAACAGAGAGCTCAGCTCTTTGAGCGGTGGCCAAGCATCACCACGAGGATGGGCTTGACGTGGTAGCCCACTGTCCTCCACATATATCACTCCATGCACCCTCTCTCCCCAGCATCCTGCACCATGCAGCACCTGGACCTTCTCCCACGCACCGCAGCCCTCGCCGTAGTGCTGGAAATGCTGGTGCTAAGGCAGCCAAGCTGGCCACCCGCTCAAGATACAAAGCATCATCGCCCACGCGACACCTTCCAGCAAAGACGAGGAATGCAAGCTTTAGTAATAAAACTCTGCAGAATCTGATCATGCTTCGAAGAAACAAACAAGCCTTTAGCTATCTCTTCTACTTTGAGCGCATGCCTTTTTATAGGAAAAAGAAAACAATCTACTGTGTATTTCGTAACTTGATTTTGAGTATTTGCTGACATGGATCTTTATGTAATAACTAGAAACATTCAACTGTTTGGGATGGGGGGGTGGATTTTTTGGGGGGGATGTTGCTGTTTTTTGTTTCATTTGCCTTTGCAGTAGGGTTGTAATGAAGTGCCGTTCCTAATGGGACCCGACGGCTGCATCCCAGGGAACGGGTGGTGGAGACTGCCCTGAGCTGGGTCTCCCACCCCATGCTCTGCGGGTGCCCATGGTGGTGGAGAGGCCACTGAGACTCTTTCCAGTTGCCCTGGATGGGCAAAGGTGGCACAGCCAAGTCCCCAGGGGCCCTTTCCAGGATTTTCCTGGATTTTCCTGAACAGCAAAGCCAGTCAGAGGCTCTTCAGGAGTCGCTGGCATGTGGTTTTCAGGACAGAAGATGAGGTTGGAACAGGGAATTTTGGCATCACCTCTTTGCCTTCAGGTAGAGGTCTGAGAGGCGTAAGGGTGGTTATTTTTCTGGCAATCCTTCTGTTTCTTGTTCTCTTTTTTCCAACTGGAACTTCTTTGCTCGTTGATGTGGGATTACTGCAGTGCACTGCTGCCACTGGGGGACTCTCTAACTGCACTCTCTTCGTCTGCATGGCAATTAACTTTCTAGATGGTGCGTGTGTTGAAAAACAAAGAAATGAACAAAAAAAGCTTGTTTTGGACATAAAAGATGAAGAAAAAAAAAAAGGAAATGTTTTCTCCATGTAAATTCTGCTGTGTATTTTGCCTTTTCTGTAATTTTGAATGCTTTGCTCTGTCTAGGCAGGGATGGCTGCCTCACGAAACACAGCCACATTCTTGCAGACTGCAAAAATATTTTCCCGATGGATTGAGGGAAAGAAATCCAAACTGTCAGGGCATTAACAGTCTTGAAGAGTTGTTGAGCCTGTCTCTTACTGTGCAGGGCAGGGGGGCAGTTGTTGCTGGGGATGTGTGTAGCAGATGCCTTTTGGGGGGAGTTGCACAGGTTCTCTAGGGGCACAAGTGTGTGTCCCCATGACCTCAGTAGACCTGTGCTCTTGGACAGTGCAGCTACATTGGCTTGCAAGGGTCAGCCCCAAAGCTCTCTAAGCAGGGACAACCATGCAAGGGGAGGATTAGCTTTTAAGATAGAGTTTGGGTGTTTTTTTATGAATCTTTTTCTTCCTGTAGTCACACAGTGGTGGAGTTTTATCATTTTTAACGGATGGGTTTAGTTCTTCTATAGCTCGCTCTCCTCCTCTCCCAAGTTATCCTTGAAGCCAGTCCTCATGAGTGTCTCTTCCACTTCTTGATGCTCAGGCTGTCTGCGTGTTGGAAGTATTTGGGATGATCAGGGGGACACAGATGAGGAAGGAGGTGGCCGTACCACTGTGGTCAGGACCGTTTCTTCGCGCTCGTGGCTTGGCTCTGAGTTTTGCTGTAGAGCAGATCTGGCTTCAGCCTCTTTATAGAGCTGCTGATACCTGTGTGCTCAGGTGGGCTGTGAGGGTGAAACTGCTTCAACGACTACGTCTGGAGAGAGGCTGGCCTGGGAAGGGAGGTGGCAGGTATGATGAATGAAATTCTGGTTTAGATCTAGTCTCCTTTCACCGAGAGCCTTCTTTGAGCAATCACTGCGAAGGGAACATCTTCCAAGTTTCTAGAATATCTTTGACCTGTCTACGTGGAGGTGATTTCTCTGTCCTGAGGCTTTCCTGAGATCATCTCTGATTCCTCTGGAGGCAGCTGGATGTCCTTGCAATGCCCAAATGTTCCAGATATAGTTCAAAGGGAAGCAGAGTCTGAGGTTTCAACTCCTTTTAGTCTTCCAGTCAAGGTGAAGCCTGACCAAGGAAGACGCAGCTTCCCACCATCTGCCCACACTGGCAGCATTAAGCACCTGCACTTTAGGGGTCTGTTCTGCCTGGTTTCCTTCCCTACCTCCCTCTGGTTCTCCAGAGGAGGTTTCTGTATCCCCTGATCATCTCTGCACAAGCACTGGATAAACCACCATCCTTTCTTTCAGCAGCCATGGTGAACAGCTTCTGTCTCTGTCTTCCTCTATATTCCCTGGTTTCTTTTAAACATACAGGAGAGCTAAGGAAGGCCAGCTGCCATAGTCCTCCTTTGGCTGACGGAGCAAGGGACACTGTGGTTGCATCCCTGCATCTAAGATGGGCTGTGTCTGCGGGCACCGCTCCAATCATCTCAGCAAGGCTCTGGACATGACAAGGTCCAGGGGATGTTTCCAATAAGCAATACGGACGAGGCCACCTTCTTGAGAGGGAGAGATGTCCTGTCCCCATTGGCCTTGAGGCCAGAGACCCTTCCATGGCACTTTTAAATTCCTAGTAGAGACATAGCCTGACTCCTACTAAATCACACAAAACTCAAAGTCCTCCAGATTATTTTTTGCTTCCATTCCTTGCAGCCCACAACAAAGAATTGAGTCCTAGCACTTGCTACAGCGATCTCAGGTTCCCTCAACTGCAGATGTGGGTTGAGAGTTCCCCATTTCCTCTTTCCTACTGGCAGGGCCATGCTCCAGCCTGTAACATCGTCATTTCTCAGGTCTTGCCCTCTGGAAGAACAGCCCCCCCTGTTCTTTTCCACCTTCATCGGGAGGGAGCAAAGGCTCTGCTCCTAACCTCAGCCCTTCTCCCTTGAGAAATGTCCTATCTCCCAGACATCAGTCTCACTTGGCCCAAACTTGCTTCCTCTCCCCTCACTTTCAGCAAATTTCCACCCTGTGGAGATGCAGCGTTGGGAGCCGATGGCAGAGGTGCCCATGGGCAGCCCACCAGGCTCAGCAGAGCCTCAGGGCAGCTTGGCTCTCCCAGGTGTCCCCTATCCCCCATGACATTAAGCTTATGGCCCACTTTGCAGACCATGGCAGCGTTGTAGGAGAGGACCAGCAAACCTTCTTGCTGCATTTGAAAGTGCATCCTGGCATGTGTCTGACAGAGCACGCTGTGTTCAGCAAAATATCCCCTGAGCATCATCTTTGATCATTCAAGGACCTGGTTGACCCTTTTTCTTGCCATAGGACATGTCTCGTGGCACTCCCAGCACTCTTGTTGCAACCACCATTAGAAAATGGGCTTGATTTGGTAACCAGACCCTGTTCTTCATCCTTAGAGGTAAGTACTGATGATAGGGGGATAGACCTCTTACCATCACCTATTCCCACATGATCCCTGAGCAGGTGCCAGCACATGAGTACCAGACAAGACAAACCCAGACTTGACCAGCTTGTGGGCACCTCAGAGGAGACCCTGGTAGCCCTGAGGCTGTCCGGCCCCCAAGGGCCACCCTGTAGCTCCTCTGCCCTTCCTTGGAGTCCCTCCTTGCCTGCAGGTCCTTCCTCGGTGCAAGGCTGCATCCCATACGGAATGTGATGCCAGGGAGTGGGCGAGAGGGTGGTGGAGGGGGGGCATACTGAGAAGCTCCTTCTGTCTTAGGGTTGTTAATCCTTTTTTTTTCGAACTGTTGCACAATTTTAGGGCTTTTGTAACATTTTTTTGGACAAGCAGGGAAAATATGTTAACAGTGGTTTAAGAAAAAACAAAAGAGGAGATCTCTCTTATATATAATATATATAAAGTATATATACATACAGGAAATCTCTATGGAAATATTTATTTAAGATGATTGCAAAAAAAATATATTAAGACTCTATCAAGCTTTGTCACGTAACAGAACTCAGACGGCGGGGAGGGGGCAGCTGCCCCTCTCCTCGTGTCTGCACCTCATATGGTTGCAGCTGAAGCCTTTTTCTCTCTTTTGTACGTGCACTCGAACTGTTGAGCAGTGTGACCGTGTTGGACTCATCAGGGGCTTGGGGAGGTCGTGTTGGGGGGGTGATTTCTTTTCCTTTTTTTCCTTTGTTTTTGGATCCTGTGGCTGTGAACAGAATGATCACTGCTCCGCTCTGCGTTTTGGGGAGGGGACGGGGAGGGCTAGGGGAGGGTTAGGGCGAGTGTCTGTTTTCCTCTTGGTGTTCAAGTGCAATAAATAGCTACAAACTTCTGAGCATGGAAACGGGTGGTTCTCCGTCACTGCCGGGCCGCCTGCTAGGGCCTTGTCTCTCCCTTCGACCCGAATTTGAGGGCAGCCCCCATGGACCCTGTCTGCTCCCTGGGGTGCAGGGGCACCCCGGGCTCCTCCTGGTCACCTTGCAATGGTGCGACGGGCCCACGAGATGTCACCAGAAGACCGTGCCCACGGGCTCCGCTTTTCCTGGTCCTGCTTGGGAGCGGGAGCTCCGGCAGAGGTGAGGGGGCCGAGCGGCACCTCTGTGTGCCCGGGCACCCCAGGGATCCTGGCCGAGCACCATTGCCCCCTTGGCAGCACTGGCCGCTCAGAAGAGCCTTGCTGAAATCCAGGAGAAACCCTGAATGCTGAACTGGCATGAGAGGGGGATGCAAGGAGGCCAAAGCCAAGCCCCAGGGCCCATTCCAGGGGCTGTGTTCAAATCCTGGAGCCAGTCCCTGGGAGCAGACCATCCTGCCCAGCTCTGCTGCCCTCAAGCTTCATCACTCCATGCACGGCCACACATACACTGGGGCACAAGTGCCCCCATCACCTTTTCCCCTTGTTTTTCCTCCTTTCAACCTTACTCTCTGCTGTATCCGTGGCCCCAGCTGCAGTCCCTGCCCTTGCCCTCGCTCTGCAGCACCTCTCCCATCCATCACAGCTGCCAAGAGAGCCGGGCAGAGAGCATCCCGGGATTACAAGGGGAATTCAGAGAATGCAGCCAGGACCCCGTGTGGGTAGGAAACGAGCGCAGACTCACGCGGAGGCCGGAGCAGACGCGCTGCAAAGCCGTGGGCGGCACGTGGACCAGCTCTGTGCTCTGCTTGCTAAAGCAGCTCAGCCCTTCCAGCGCCGATCCAGCATTCAGGAAACGTTTCCTCGCCGTGTCTGGGCCAAATCCCTCGCTCAGACCAAGGCATCTCCTCTTCTTGCCCGCAACATCGCGCAGGGCAGACCCCCACGTGCCTCCCCATGGGGGGCAGCGCCGTGACCTCCCAGGGCCTCCTGCTCGGCAAATAGTGTCAAGGTTAGAGCGAGGGATTCATTGGGGCCATAAATGTTTATGGCCGGCCCTCCCCGCTCCCCAGCCTGAACTTTCCATCAGCGACACTTTTATGGCCGGCTCTAATGATTAACTCGGGGGCTAGCGGCCGAAGGTGCTTCCCAAAGCGGGGGCTCTACCGGGGCCGCAGGGGATGGGGGAAGATGGTACCGGAGCTGGGAACCCCCCGGGAGAGCCACCACCCGCCCTCCAGCCATGGTGGGTGCAGGGCTGCTGGAGAGGGGGACATGGAAAGCGGTCACCGGTCTTGTGGGAAGGAGGATGGAGGTGGCCGGGACCAGGCATAAACCTCAGCTTCCTTTTTTAACCTGGGTTTGGCTCTCACCTGACCAGGACACAGCCTGGGGGTCGGTGTGCCCCTGTTCGTGGAAGCCCCCTCTGCTCTGCTTTTCTCCTGCTGTGTCCAAGCTCCTCTCCCCAAGCAGGAGACGATCTTTGCACATTGAGGACCTCACCAATAGCACGGAATCACACGCTGCTTTTTAATGGATAATTGACAATGTACAGGGAGAAGGGTGCACACAACAGTGGGGCAATGGGGATGGGTGACTTTGGGTCCAGACAACCCCAGCCAGGACATTCCTGGCGTCCTCCAGGCCAGCAGCGTCTGCAGGAGATGCGCTCAGACATCCAGATATGGGGCTCCCACACAGCAGAGTCACGGCCTTCCTCTAACATGGGGTCTGGGCTGAGCTGCCCCAAAATCCAGGGGGATGGACACAGAGCTGCCCTTGGCTCTGCTCAGAGCTGAGACCTGACCTCCTGTGTGCACGAGGAATGGGTGGCCCATCCTCTTCCTGCCCTTCCAGCGTGGCCTAGGTCTGCCAAGCACGGTGGGGAGGAGCTGCCCCAACCGGCCAAGGTCTTCGGGTGACCTCCATGCTTGGAAGGGCCCAACTGTTTTGTTCCTAAAGCTTCTGTTTTGTTTTAACGATTGCTCATTTATTTGGTTGGGTTTCATTCCCTGGACACTGACCGGTCCCTGTTGCCCTGGAGCACCTCTGTGTAGGCAGAGCACCCTGACACGCACCTTCCTCGGAGAATGTTAACACAGTCCTTTCTCGTAGATGTTTGTGGATCACTGGAGTCAAATATGTGTTAGCAGAAAGAAGACAGACACAGAGGGCCTCATCCTCCCTGCCTCGCGCCACCCCAAGCATCCCTGCAAAGAGAGGGCAACGCAGGGTCCTCTCCTGCTTGCTGAGCACGGGCTGAGGGTGGGATGGGAAAACCGGACACTTACACTAGACACCATCACACGACTGCACAGATGCATCACACAGCTCACCACACCGAACAGGAACACCTCGAGAACGGCAGACCCAGCAGCAGCCCTCTCCTCGTGAGGAGCTGGTGGCAACAAGGCCGGTAGAGTTGGCAACCGTGACTGCCCCCTGCACGGCCCCCACAGGCCAGCCTGAAGTGCCCAAGTGTGACCTGTGCAAGTTTTGGGGTGACAACCCCCATAGCCCCTGGGGCTGCAGGACTCCTCACATCATGGACTCCTCGTCTTCCTCCTCTATCTCCCGGTCCACCTCGATGGCCGTGTTCTCGTAGCTGGTGATGCCTCCGTATTTCCGCATGTGCACCATGAGCGGCTTGGGGGACTGGCTACCGGCCAGGGTGGCCACGTACATGCCAGTCCTGTTCTCCTCCAGCGATGGGCCCCAGTCCATGGTGGGCCGGCTGGCTTGCCGGATCCGCTGCGAGAAGGCAGAGGTGGAGGAATAGGGCTCCTGCTATCACACCAACCCCTGCTCTGCTCCTCAACCATCACCCTGAGCCAGCAGCCTCCCCAGCTCCTCTGGGAAGCAGATTTGCTCTGCTAGACACTGAGGACTGGAAGAGCCCCTGGAGAAGATGGGATGAGACCGAAAGTCTGGCCCAAGGCTGGCTGAGGAGGCAGCTCCACATAAGTGCTGGCATTACAGTGGTGTGGAGAGGGCTTGCAGGGGCTAGTGCAAGGTTCTTTGTGCAGCAAATACCTTTCCCAGCTGTTTCCTTATCATGGTCTTGGCCAAAATGTGGCTCTGCCAGCAAGGCTCTGCCTTGTCCCTAGGCACAGCCCTGGCAGGAGCAGGAGGGCTCTTGGACATGCACAGCTCCATGCACAGCCTGCACAGCAGCACCGGGCTGGATTGCTCCAGCAAGAGGTTAGGGCCAGCCAAGGCGGTGGCTGTCGATGCCACTGCAGACCGAGGCTGTCCCCAGCCAGATGGCAGCTCAGGTGGCTGCTGGGGAGGGCTGCTGCCTGGGGAGGGCACCAGCTCCCTTGTCTGTGCTTGGAGCAGCCCGGGAGAGCAGCAGAGGACAGCTGGGGATGGGAAGGCCGTGATGGGACAGGAGGGCACCCAGCTTGCAGAGCCAGAGCTCGCGCGAGGCTGGGCAGAGCATTGCCCTGGAACGGGACCTCGTGGTGCCCGGAGAGCCCAGAGCAGCTGCCTGCCCTGACCGCTGCTGTCTGTGTCTCAGACAGCCCAAAGCCTCTTCCCTTTTCACCAGGCTGCTGGGCTGAGCACCTGCCACGGCCTCCTGGCTGTTTTTGCCCATGCAGAATGGGCAGCATCCATGGGGCTCCCCATGGGAAGCACTGGGACTGGCTACAAATGCCCTGGCACATGCTGCCTCTCACTGCCCGGGCAGGAAGGAGGGACCGGGATGCACATCTCCAGGACATGGGACGCAGGAATTGCTGGAGGATGCAGGTCTAGCAGGGGCTCATGATCCTCTCCCCCAACATCCCTTAGCATGTATAGTGTGCTTGGTGGCAGCAGCGGGACTCCTACCTCCCACAGCGTTCCTTCTTCTCGGAGCACAGCCAACACCATGCCAGCAGGCAAGCAGGGAAGCGGTAGCTGCCGTACTCAGACGGCTGGTACTTGATGATATTGTAAACCAGCAGCGCCTGCGGGATTGGGGGAAAGCAATGTCATTCCAGATCCCTCCACAGCTTCACTCAGAGCCCATAGGGACCTCCCAGGAAAAACAGAAAGATCCCCTGGGCCTTGCAGAAAGCAGGACAAGATGCCAGGAGAGGGACTTGTCACACTGGGAGGTCATCCTGGAGGAAATGGCATCACTACAGCACCAGCCAATCCTTCAAACCAAGCAGTTACCATCATCGTTGCTGGGGACAGGATCATCCAACAGGCTCTGAAGTAGGGCCCTGGTTTGAAGCCCAGCATCATGTGAATATCTCGGCAGAACCTCTTAATGCCTGGTGGAGGAAAAAGACACAAACTGAGAAACTGTGACAGTTCCAGCACAGCCAAGACCTATACAAGGCTGCCATGTATCAGCACCGGCCAAGGACATGCACAGCAAGACCTGTGGTTTGAATCCTCCTCTCCAGCAAAGAAACATCTTCCCTGCTTATCAGAGAGGCAGGATGGGGTGGTCCAGGCAGTGCTGTTTGAGGAACCAGGCTCAGTGCCCCAAACAGCTCTAGGAAGGGGAATCCAGCAAAGGTCACATGTAAACAAGAGTTTGGAGATGACGTGTTTGGTTTTCCATGGCAATGCTGCTGGTTGGACCATCTGTTCCCCTAAACCTCTCCCTTTGTCACCTGCCACTCTTAGGCAGGCAGCCTGCTCTTCCCAACGTCCTTACCATAGACACGTGTCACCACGATGCAGGTAGTGATGACCACCACCATGAGACCAAAACCAGCGCTGTAATCATCCAGTAGGACCAGCCAGTACATCCCACCCTGCAGAAGCAAAACACAGCAGCCAGCGTCTCCAGGAAGACTCAGAGCAGTGCCCCATAAACCGCCAGCCACGTCCTCTTGCCTATAGGGACGTGTCCCATCGGTCCTTCCTGGACACTGGGGAAGATTGAGCAGCATCAGGAGTCCCCACTCCCCATGTGGGATTGTGCAGGGACATGATAATGCTGTGTCATTCCCCTTGGGACCTCACATCCCCAGTAAACCAAGCTCACTGGTCATCTCTGCCCAATCTTGTTAGCAGATGCAATATATGTCTACGAACCTGGCCCCTGCCCTAAGCACGTCGTGAAGTGAGCAAGTCCTCACGAAGCATCCAGCCCCACACCCTTACCTCTGTCGTGAGGATGAGCCCCATCAGGAAGAGGGCAATGCAGATGGCAGCCGAGAAAAAAGCTTTCTTTGGTCTCAGATAGTAGGGAAATTCATCTGTCACTGCTGTAACGATGGTCTCCATAAAGGCAAACTGCAACCAAGGGAAAAGAGGGTGCCCTGAGCCCCCTGGGCTGCCTGGGCACTGTGGCTGGCTTGTTGGGCTCTGTCCTTACCTGGCTGTCCAGGCCCAAGGTTAACAGCATGAAGAAGAACAGGAAGGACCAGAACGGAGAAAGGGGAAGCATTGTCATGGCCTGAGGGTACACCACAAAAGCCAGGCCAGGACCTAGGGGAAGCAAAGGACACTAGGATGAAAAGGGGGTGACAGAGGAGAGCCCAGTAAAGTGGGTGCAGGCATCCAGAAAAAGGTCATGGAGAAAGGTATTCATCTGGCCTTACCTGCTTTTGCCACCTGGTTCACAGGGACCCCGAGCTCCTGGGACATGTATCCCAAGACAGAGAAGATGGCAAATCCAGCCAGGATGCTGGTGATGGCATTGCCCAGGGTCACTATGAAGGTGTCCCTGCAGGGGAGAAAGCAGATGCTCTGAACATACCCTCTCCTTCCCATCCTACAGCAGTGCAGGGTGGCTTTTTCAGTCCAGATGCCACAATTCTTCTACTGGACCTCTCGATATATAGTTTCCAAGGGGGAAAAGGAGCCTATATCTAATGACATGGGTCACTTTGAGGGGTTTCTCTGAAGCTTGCTTTTCCTCTTGAAATAAGCACGTAATAAGAATTCTCCTTCTCCATTGCCAGGGCTCTGCAAGAGATGGTAGGGACAGGACAAACATGATTGACTCTACCCTTCAGCACCTGCAGCCCAACACTTCTGAACCAGATGGTGTCTTGATGTTTAGGAGATTTTTCTTCCACAGAGCCCTCTAATCCCTCTCAAACCTGTGCAAGATAAACTGTGAGATGCTAGTATGAAGGGAAAGCTGGTTATATTGTAGCTGAAAAAATACCAAATGATGAGGGTTCCATTTGTGTTATAATATGTATATTTGCATTTATGACATCATTTTTGCTAACACAGAGAAAACTGCAATGAAAACATGAAATCTGCCCTTGGGTTTTTGGAAAAGTAGAATTCTGCCTCGTTGCTAAAGCAGCATCTCCTGAGCCAGTGCTTCCTATGGCAGCTGGATCTCCAGGGCTGTTTTTCTTTCTAGTGAGAGCCCCCAAAGTGCAGCTCATCTACTTGTAGTTTGAAACCTTATCGCTTGTTTGAGAGTAAGTTTGAGACCTTATTGCTCTCTACAGCTACCTGTAAGGAAGCTGTAATGAGGCAAGGGTCGATCTCTTCTCCAAAATAACTACTGATGGGACAAGTTGCACCAGGGGAGGTTCAGGTTAGACATTAGGAAAAAATTCTACGTGGAAAGAGAGGTGAAGCATTGGAATAGGCTGCCCAATAAAGTGGTGGAGTCACCATCCCTGGCAGTGCTCAAGAAACGTGTCGATGAGGCACTTCAGGACATGGTTTAGCAAGCAGGGTGTTGAAGGGTTTATGGTTGGACTTGATGATCTTGAAGGTCTTGTTCAACCATAACAATTCTAGGATTCTGTGATTCTAAGCTGCATGATATCTGCATGATCCTAGAGCAAGGTTCACCACAGCGTGACCATGTGCAGCATCAAGCACAGCTGCTGCTTTTGAACCCATCAGCTGAGATTTTTCCTGATTTTTGCAAGACAATACCTGGCTCTCACCTGTAGATATTCTGATGGAAAGTGTTGTATGAGGCAAAGGTGAGGAGGCCCCCAAAGCCCACACCAAGTGAGTAGAAAATCTGCAGGGCTGCCTCAATCCACACCTGGTGGAAGGAAACAGATTCAAAGAGAGAAGTGGCTTAGAAATCTTTCCCCAAGGAAGAGGGGATGGGAAAAGCTTCTCAAGATTCACCCTGTGTGGCTGCCTGTGTGTCCCTCCAGCGCGGGATCGCTCCAGCACTCCAAGCCTATCGTTCTTGGGTCTGGATTTTTCCACACAAAGCTCAGTGAGCAATTTTCCTGGGAGCAATGGCTTTGCTTTCCCTTGCTACCACATTCACTTTCCCGAATGTCTCCTGTGGCTAGTGGAAAGGCTAGTGAGAGCGTTTTGCAGTCAGCCCAGCGTGGCCTTAAGCACCCTTGTAAAACAGGGAGGTGTCTGCCACCAACAAGGCTGACGCAAGGGAACTCCCTGCTTGGGTAAAACAGAGCGGCCACGTCCAAGCCAATCACACCCGGGCACCTCTCAGCCCATCGCCAGGGCTGGGCTCTTCTGCTCGTGTTTCAGGTGCCCAGGGAAAGCAGGGAGTACGTGGTGTCCCAAGCCGGAAACACAGGCATGGGATTTTGCCGCTTGGGAAGGGGATATACACAGGGATATGCAACACAACCTCAACAACAAGTAGATTTGCCATCGGAGCAACCAAAAGAGAGGGCATTGTATCAAGCAAGTGGCCAGAAAAGGCAGGAAACTACAGGGACACAGAGTGCTCTGCCCTGTGCTGCAGAGAACACAGCAAGATTAATTCTGGTGCTTCAAGCGAATTGCACAAGGCCCCCACTGTGCCATGAGCCACTAGACAGATCTTCCCATGCTGGGAGAGAAGCTCCCAAAGGAAGAGCAGCTCCTGCTCACCTTGGAAGACAGCAAGTGATCAAACTGTGGTGTGAGATAAAACTTGATGCCCTTCCAGGCCCCCTCCAATGTCACACCGCGGACGAGCAGCATCATCAAGATGAGGTAAGGAAAGGTGGCGGTGAAATACACAACCTGCAGGAGAACAGAGGCCGCTGGAGAGCCAGGAGCAAGACCTGGGCACGTTCACCCCCCCCAGCACCCTGTCCCCACAGCTGAAAGCTGCTTTGCAGAGCACAGCCCTGCAGCAGCAGGTCCTGGTGATAGGCATCAGCATCACCACTGTCTGCGTGTGCAAGTCATTCCATAAGTAGTCTGCATCCAGGAAACGTTGCTTATTTTCCTTTATTTTCCTCACTGGCATTTCCTGGGTGCACAGAGGTTATTGGCACTTTTGTGCCTCACTGTATGTCACCAAAGAGACCACATTGATCCTCCAAGTGGATCCCCCTTAGAGCAGAAAGGCAGTGACTGGTGACTCCAGTCCTTACCTTACCAGAGGATTTCACTCCCTTTAGGATGCACAGGTACACAATAGTCCAAGAAAGGAGTAAGCACAGACACAGGTTCCAGCGGATCCTCCCGGGATCCCCGATCCCAGAGCTCCCTTGGATGTGCAGAACATACCGACTAGGGCAAAAAGAGAACCACTAGTGAGCGGCCATGGTCACCCTCCCCAGCACACCGGACACCCCACATCTTCCAGCTACCTTCTCTGAACTTAGCAATTCCTCTGCTGCAGAAAGTAACCATGTCAAAAAATACATTAAAAAAACCCAGTGAGATAGCAACCAGGCGCTGGCAGCTCTTTGCCAGGGTAAGAAGTGTGATTTCTTCACCATGGATTAATGGCCCTGCAGGGGAAAGACTGATAGTCAACAGTAAAATCCTGGATGATCCAGACACAGGATGCATTTCAGTCTAACGTATCTCCAGGCTAGAAAAGCCACATTAGATCAAAAGTTTTCACCTCCTCCAAGACTTCAGCATAGCTGAACACCTCCCATCTGCATCTGGCATCCAGGGGCCTCCCGATCCCTCATTCTCTGCCAAAGAGGCACCACTGCAGTACAAGTCCCCTGCAGTGCAGCTGTGCAAAGACAACAGGAGCCTCTGCAACACTCCTCAGCATTGAGCTACCCAAGGCAGATGAACCCGCAGGAGAACATGGAGCCAGCCAACCTGTGTGATCCCACGGGCAAAGCTGAAATACCACATACATCCACACAGGAAGATCCCCCCAGGGTCCCCATGCATGCCCACCATGCCATGAAATGTCCAGCACAGCCCTGTCACCGCCAGACCCATCCCAACATGGTCCCCTTGGGGACAGCCACCCCAGGCCCATGGTCAGGCCAACCTCTCTACCTCCAGTACTCCTCGCTGGGGCTCACGGTGTTGGAGATGTTGACAGGGAAGGAGGCATTTCCTGCCTTGATGATGTGATGGTCCAAGCACAGATCAGTGTTCCACCAGTTGCCACAGTGCTGCCATGGCAAGTCACTTGTTAGGGATGCAAAGAGGTAGAAGAGAACGTAAGCAATGATCATATTGTAGTAAATGGCCACCAGGGAGACGATCAGGATCGTGCCCATGCCAACACCTGGAGGAAGGAGAAGATAAAGAAGGGGTGAGCCATATATCCGGAACTGAGCACATCAAAAGGCAGGGTCAAACATTGGATTTTGGCACTCAGATAGTTAACCAGCTCCGACTTAGAGATTCATCTGTCTGGATGGAAGCCTTTTATTGCAGTTATGCCATCTGGACAGCCAGTCCTGCACATGCCATCTCTGAATGCATAAGAATTGGTAAACCAAATGATTTTACTCTAGATCACTGCTGAGAGTAAACATATTTGATTTGACCTTCCTTTAATTCTTATATTTGTTTATAACAGCCATTGCTTTACATTATTATCCATTATATTATATTGGTTATATATGCTATATTTTGGACCCTATATTTGATTTAATAGTAACCATACAGTTTCTGGAACTGATCATGACGTCCAGAACCTTTGAAGGCTCTTAGATCTTACATTGTATCTTGCAGTTCCTGAAATGGACCCAGAAGTCCAGCCTGCTCCGCCTTCCCCCAAGATTTAACCTTTGGTTCTAACAAGAGCTTGCAGATCATGGGATGACATTGTATATCTATGTCCTCATTGAGAGGCTCTGAAGAGGACTTGGGTTTCACTCATGCACCTTTAAAGAGTGGGCTTATCTTCCAGACAGCAAGCGGCCCCAGGCTGGAGAATTGCCCAAGTGACAGCTCCATGAAGAAGATGGGAATCCCACAAATGGCCAGCATGATGAAGTAAGGAACCAGGAATGCGCCTGCAAGAAGCAATGACCCCCAGAAATTAGCACAGATTGAACACTTGAAGCCCATCTATGACAGTGAATAGAATTCATACCACATCTGAGGGCCTGAGGAACATAGAATATTGTGCACCAAAACCTGGAAGGCAGTAAGGGCCAGCAGCTCATTGCAATGCTGGTGAGGAGTGGCACTGCCCTGTTATGTCTCAGGTTTGACCCTGTGGGCATTCCTATCTGTCATGAGGTTAAGTCCCACCAGGTCCTCAGTGTGCAGTTAACAGCTCATATTTCAGCTGGAACCCTGTTGTCACCACTACTAGCACGTGCTCAGGAGCCCAGGGGCGTACTCTGAGCTTGCAAGACCTTCCCGCTCCATCATAGTGATGGCCAGAAGCACAATTTTGCAGCCCATACGCAGAAACAGCCCCTCTATGACATTATCACAGCGGGAAGCAGTGACTCAACCGGGAGCACGTGGCCTCCTGTGCCTTCGCCAGCCCTGGCCTCAGTATCCCAAGAATGTGCTGTGAGTACTCGGAACCAGGAGGCTGTTGAGCTCCTGGAGGAGAATGTGTGGTTGATGCAGGAAGAAGGGGAGGTGATTCACATGTTAGCAGGCTTTCCCACACACTCGTACACTTTTTTCCTTGAGTCTCTTGCAAATATCCTGGCAAATTTACCAGTTACTACAGCATGTGGCAAACTATTACACTGGAAACAGACCAAAAGACTGGTCACCTTGCTCCATCACTGTTCAGTCCAGCATTGCTAAAGTCTCACACTCATCCCTTGGTATTTGAGACATATTCATGGGCTCCTGCTGAGTCCTGGAGGACACCAGGCAAAGGCAGTGTTGGAAGCCAAGGGCAATTACAACTGCCAAGGGCAGTTACAAAGCTCCCCGGGAGCCCTGCCAAGCTGCAGGGTGGCAATCAGTTAACTATAGGGCTGGGCACTGGGGATCTCACCAAGGCCATGAGTGCAGATATGGGCTGCGGAGTTCCTTCCACATGTGGCTACCAAATTCATAGGCTGGGTAACACATTACAACAAGCATGGGGGGCAGAGAAGGACAGATGGGAGGCCTTCCTGGTGCCCACTGCACTTCACCCCACAAAGCCTTTTCCTAGGCCCAAGCAGGAGATGGGGTATCCAGGTGGACACAAGTCCCACCAGTCTGAGGGTCAGACCTACCTCCTCCGTTGGTGTAAGCCCTGTACGGGAACCTCCAGACATTTCCAAGGCCCACGCAGTACCCGATGCAGGACAGGAGGAAATCCAGCCGCCCCGTCCAGTTCCCTCTGTCCTCGGGATCCGCCGAGCCCAGGTCCCCGTCCTGACTGCTCGGGCTCACCAAGAGGTCTGGTGTTACAGGCTGAATGAAAGAGCAGAGCAACAGCAACAGGCCAGGAACGAGGGAAGAGATAAAAAGGAGGAAAGAGGGAAGGGGTTGGGACACCCGGACAGCAGGCACCAGGGAAGGAGTGCTGAGATTTGGGGGTTGAATTTGTGACCCCCAAGTCACAGTATTGACGTGTCTGCCCTAGGGAGCCGCTGTGCAGGCAGCTCCCTGTGCACCACCAACCTGCACTCCTAAGGGGCTTTCAGTTATAATTCGAAGCAGACCCATGTCCTACCCTGCTGTTGAGTGAGGAAGGAGGATAAACATGATGACGCATGGCCAGAGCTCCCCCGGGAAAGGCAGAATGACCCGGGTTCCCCTTGAGAGGCCACAAATGATCTTGCAACCCCAGTTTCCCAAGAAATAGCTTCACCAGGGCCATAATAATCTATCTTTTCTCATCTCCTGCAAAACAGGGACATGAGGAAGTGCCATCCTGGCAGTACAGGGGAACATGGTGCCCACAACATCCACACCCCCCTGCCGTGCAAGGCACTCAATGACCATTAAATGTTGTGTGTGTTTTTCACACTTTTCCAGCTGCCAAAAGCCTGTCATGTGGGGAGTTAGTGATGCGTTCCCAGCAGTCCCTATGGAGCAAGCTCCCGTCCACGCTTTCCTGATCTACCCCCGAACAGCAAGGCTCAGGCAACTCTTTGGCAGGCAAGGGATTAACCCTTCCATTCCCCTCCGGATCTGCAAGAGGGAGGTGGGAATCCTGCCATACATTTGGGATGGGGCAATGCATCAGGAGGGCTCCTCAGCATTCCCATCTGTGCACACATGTGCAGCAGGATCTTCCATCCATCCACCTTCCCTGGCTGTGAGGGAAGCGATTCCCACTGCCTCCCATCGCACATGCAGCACCAGCACTAAAAACCTCGGATAGCAGCTGCCAGCTGGGATCCCATCGGAGATACCCCTTGGAGTGAGACCAGCAGCAAAGCGGGCTGGACCAGCATCCTGCCCCCCTCCTTGCCCACGGGTGCACTGGGTCTGGCTGCTGTGGACGCATCCGGTGGGATGCGGCGGGAGCCCTGCCAGCACGGTGCCGGGAAAGAGCCCCAGCTGGGGAGCCCCCACCCTGCTTCTTCCTGGACTATCAGAAAGAAAAATCCACCCTTTGCTTGACTCCGAGTTTGCACAATTTTAGGAAAAGAGCCCATGGGACACGGCTGAGGGTAGGGGTATGTGGTGGGAGGATGGAAGGAGAGGCCAGAGCAACCAGCGGGTCCCCCATGCCAATGTGCATCCCCGGCCAGCCCTGCTGTCCCTAGCTCACTGCCCGCGTCCCTAGCCCACCAGCCTTGCCACTGCCTCCACTGCCCACCCAGCTGCCAGGATGCTCCTATTCCAAGTTCCCATGGAGACACAGAGCCATTCCCTGGGCGGCCACAGGCCCCTTCCTCTTCCGCGGTGCCTTTCCAGCCCCCTTGGAAAGGCCTCGTGGGGCTGCGTGAGCAGCGGTGAGCTCTTCCCAAAAAGAATCTTAAACACTCAGCGTGGAAATAAAAACATTTCACTGAAAAACAATGTCCACAGCAGAAGCCACTGCTAAAAACCTGTCCCCGCTGGACACCACCATCAGAAGGCACAGACCAAAAGAAAAGCTTCAGAAAGACAGGCTGAAAAATGGAAACGTGGCCCGGATAACATATTGTTGCTATTAGGAGCTGTTGCCGCCACGCAGCCTTCCTGCCCTGCTCAGCAGAGATCTCCTCTTCAGCTATTCCTCCCCAGTGTGACCGTGCCAGCAAATAACCTCAGCGTGAAGGGGGGATTTGACCTTCACCAAGGTGCACTCAAGGGGGATGGACTGACCGCTGGCAACGTCCTCCCTGGAAGCTTCATCTGCTGCTCCCTGTGCTCACCAGGTCCCTGCACGTGGGCACGGGACCACCCGGAGGTGCCACCATTCGCCTTGAGGCTGCTCTGATGCCTAGCCCTGTCCTGCAGGAGATCTTCAGCCTCTCACGGTGCCCACAGGGCTCCCCTTTTCCAGATTGGCCTCAGATGTGAATAACATGCAGTGAATGAAGCAGCTGGCACATCATTAATACCCTCCCAGCTCCTCCCTGCAGATCCAGCTGAATAAAATGGCTGCAAGAGGGCACAGGTGGAGCAGTGGGACCTGATTAAATCCAGGTGACCATGTGTTGGCTGCAGCGTGAAAACTGCACTGAAGCAGCAAAAACAGAAGGAAGGAACCATCTCTAAACCATGACACCGTCATCTCTGCCATGAAACCACAATCTGTCACTGCTTGTCCTCTTCAAGGGTGCATAGCCGTTCATCCCCAACCTGGTGACGGCTTTGGGGCCTCAGGGCAAAGCAGGGACTGCCCAGCTGTGTGGCAACCCCAAGCAGAACCACTCCATCCCTGCAGGATGGGGGAAGCTCCCATGGGGAAAAGATCCAGTGGCTGCAGCGTTCTCAACTACCTAAGCCCCGTCTCTGATGCACGACATCGGAGGCCTTGCAAACCAGCCTGCTTGTCCAAGTTAAAATGAACCTCACAGGGGGATATTAAGAATTTCACATCCAGTTTTGTCCCAGAGAACAGAAAGTCTCACCCTTCTTTGCTCTTGGTTCCTGGAAATCTCACCCCCTGTCTCCACTTCAGCCCCTTTCCAAGCCTCAATGGTCCTTGCAGCGTTTTGCCACAACCCACATTTTCTCCTTCGGCAAAGGCTGAAGCGCAATGTCCCTTCGGTGACTTCCAGAGCTGCCATCTTTCAAGACGGGCTCCCATCTCGCTCGTACAAACAGACGGGGACCAGCAGCTCCCTTGGCAACAAGATGCTCTTTGAAGCGGCATCGCTTTCCATTATTCACCAGGAGATGCGCCCCAAGAAGACAGCAAAGCAAAGGTCACGGGGAAGAAAAAGCACTTTAGTCCCTGGCAAGATAACAGCTCGTTCCACAGGGAAATTGCTCTATGCTAATTATTATGGGTGAGCTGATTCCCCTAAACCTGTGCAAAATTCAGCTGGCGCGGAGCAGCACCAGTGGAAAGGCAGCCAGATTAACGTTACTTTTTCATCTCATTTTAATGAAATGCTGGCTGGCATTGGGGAGTCATTTGGTCCTCGTTTTGTGCCATGAACTGCAACACTTGAGTCTGGAGAAATGCCACACGGAGCCAGACTTCCCCCGGCAGATCCCCACCGCGTGCGAACACAGCGCGTCTGCACCCGGTGAGTCACTTCAGATTAGCCTGAATTGCTCGTTAATCTCTTTAAAAAAAAACTGAAAAAAATACATTCCAATGATTAGGAAGCGAAGAACATCAGAGCATCTCAAACGGCCCTGAGGAGAGCTGTTCTGATCCGGCTCTCCCTAGCCTGGGATCGCAGCGTGTGCCAGGAGAGGGAGCGAGAGCTGCCGGGGCCAGCGAGGGGCAGGAGAACGCTGAGGCTGGAACAAACTCGTTACACAGATGTCCCAAGCATCGTAGAGCATGCACAAGCGAGTCCATCACACAGCTGCAAACAGCAGAGGCTTTTCATTCAAAAATGCTGTGGGGGGAGCTGGGACCGGGGGCTGTGTGGGGACACACAGTGGCTCTTGGGGACACGCTGGGGTGAGGGGGAGCAAGGGACTGCACAACTTAGCCCATTCCTACCCCAAAACCCACACCAGATGAGCCAACAGCTGAAAACATCCTCTTGTCTCTTGCAGAAACGCTGTCGGGGAAGAGCGAGCACGAAATCCTTTGAGCCTGAGAAATTCCTTCCTCCCTATTAGAGAGGAATTTCCATATGTCAAAAACATGCCTGGTGACGAGGCAAAAACTCCCAGCTCGCAGATGGAAAACGATTGAATCCCCCGGGGAAGGAGGACATGGGGGCGAGGGCTGGTCAGCCAGTGCCGCCTGTAGCTCCGGGCCGGAGGCGCTGGGGACAGACGGACCCTCATCTGCGTGACCTCGGCAAGTGTTTGGGGGTAAAGGAGGACATCAGGGCCCTGGGCAGCATCGGGAATGGGGAAAAATAACCCTGGAGACATCTGCTTCTCATTCAAGCTGATTCCCTCAGGGATTAAAAGAATTCCTGAAGAAATGTTGAGCAGGATCACTGACAGTGAGGAAATTATTTCAAGTATCTCCCCAAGCATGTGGAAGGGACAGAGACAACTTTTAATGGATCTGGCAGTCACAGAGCCATCTGCAAAAGCAATTTGTAGGAAGAAGAGAGGCAAGAACAAGATGATGCATCCAAAGAGCTCCAGGAGGAATGTAGGAAGCCCCGAGGCTGCTGGAGCCGTCAGGTATCTGCAGAGTCTCACCAGGCCAATGCTAGCTTTGCACATCCTGCCCCAAATCCTGGGAATTTCCTGGTGATGTCTGGACCATGTTGAGTTTTCCTGCATGGCATCAGCCCCCACGGATGCATCACCATGAGTGGGTCCACATGGGCCGGGAGCAAGGGGACAGTCCCCAGCATGGGTGACAGGAACCCAGAGAGCACAAGAGGGCAAAGGTACCACCCCAGGGATGGAAAAGGCAGAGGGTGCAGATGGGGTTTCTCCGTCTCCAAGGGGCACGACGACGTGAGGCAGGAGCCAGCACCACCTGCACCCCTTTAAATCCCACAGCCGGTAGGAAATCCCAGGAGTAGGTAGGAAAGTCTCAGACACCTCCCTGCACTTGCGCCTGTGGCACTGATGTCCCCTGCAAGCCACGATGTGCCACTGCCCCATGGTGACTTCTGTAAGGGGTGACGGAGGGTCCTGGAGATGCATCACGAGATGCATGGGAAAGGCTGGGAAAGGGGAGGTTGGGAGCAAGCCAGGGACCGGAGTCTGAACTGGAGAACGGATTAGCCACGCTGGCATCCGCAGGATACTGGGCAGCAGCGGTGTCCCCCGCTGCCCCCAGCATCCCGGGCACCCGCGTGGCAGCGAGACGGCTCTGCACCCGCTGCCTCCCCCGGCCGCCCGGCCAGACACAACATGAATCATCCCGCCGGGAGCACCTGTGCGCAGCGGGGAAGGCAGGAGCATCCTCCCGGCACCCGCGGGGATGGCGCGGCGGCTCCAGCTTCACCTAATTGCTCATCGGCAAGAGGTTGTGACAAAATGGCCCTCAACCACCCCCCAAAGCGGGACCCAACCCCTGCTTCAGCCGGCACGTGTGCCCTACCCTTTGCCCACCTGCAGTCTTGGCAAAGGAAAAGTCTCCCGACTCGGCACGGAGGGAGCAGATGGCAGGTTGGGCAGGGGGACGGGGCCACGGCTCAGCCCCGCCAGCCCCGTGCTGTGACGGGCACGCGTCCCCCCCGGGCACCGCGGCTCCCGTGGCACGGCCGGCCCTCACCTTGCGGAGATGCTGCTGCCGAATGTTCTTCATCCCAGAGCCCTGTTGCTATGCACCCCCTCCGCCGGCACTTTTCCTTGCGCTCCGCAGACGGGCAGCGGCAGGGAGGGAGCGCACGGAGCATCCAAAGCGGTAAAAGGCGAGGAGCGATGGCACTGCCTCCTGCTCACGGCACGGGCGGGCGAAGCGCGAAGGCTGCCTGGAAGGAGGAAGAGGAGGAGGGCAGAGCCCGCGGGAGGCCGGAGCCACACGCGGGAAGGGAGGAAGGGGACGGCTCTGGGCAGGCTGGAGAGGGGCTGTCTGTCAAGCGCACCCCTGCCGGGATGGGGGGGTAGGACCTCAGCCCCTCACCAGGGCGATGGGGCAATGAGGAGGCAATGAGCTGCCGCTCATGCGCTACACGTGCCACGAGTGTGTGTGTTCTCAGCCTGTGCCCTGGATGTGGGGCACAGTGTTATCTCTGCACAGCCCCCACGTAGGGCTGCGAGTCCTGGCTCGTTATGGCCAGACTGGCACTGATGTTCCCTGTGCCACAGCCCTGGATAGGCCCAGCAGGTCAGAAATGTCCTGATGCTGCCACAGGCTGCCCGAGGCTGGTCCTCAGCACTGGGATGGAGGGTGCTCCACAGCCCTCGTCCTTTCTGTGCTGCGCTTTCCCCCAGACCATCTCCGGTCAAAGCCACTCCATCAGGAAGGTGCCCCATATCCCTTGCAAATAGATCCTTTCCCTCCAAGGCAAAGCGGGGCCAGAGCTGCTGAGCTCGCACAGATGGCAGAGACCTTCTCAGGTACCGTCCCAGCCTCACCATCCCGCTCGGTGCCTTGTTTGCCTCCCGTGCCTGTTTGGTGTGAATCAGCCCGTTGCTGTTTTCCCATGGGATCTGCCTGAGGAGCTGCATGCCGTGGTGCAGCAGGCAGAGCTGGTGTCAGCGCACTGCAGCTGCCCCATCCCTGCGTCACCGGGCTCCAACCCATCCCTGCACAAACAGCCCAGCCTTCCCGCGGCCGGTGTCAAGACTCTGTCCTCGTGTATCCAGACAGCGTATTTCCTGGCAGGAGCTCATGGACTAACGATAGCCCTGAGGGTGGGTTGGGATGCAGACCCCAAAGGGATGCTCCAATTGCAGAGCGCCTGCACCCACATGGCACGTGTTGTTTGGGCAGTGGAGCCAGCAGACCCATCACCAAGGATGACAAGGGGTGGCCAGCTCCAGCATTCACGGAGCTCCAGCATCTCTTTGGAGCAGCCAGCTGAGTCTGGCATCCCCTTGGGCTGCTCCCTGGCTCCGGCTACAAGACATCCCACTGTGGGGACTGTGGAGATGCAGGGACAGAGGGAAACCTCGGCCTGTGCTCTCTGAGCTCACCATGCCCCAAACCACCATCAACGCTGCTTCTTGCAGCTGCTATTGCAGGAGGAAGGAGCCCGCAGGCTGGGAAGCCACCCGTGCCCACAGCACAGCCCGTGGGGTGGGCGCATCCCACCCACATCCCGGCCGTGGGCCCTGGAGATGTGGCCTGGCCAGGGCCATGGTGGGCCCATGCCTGTGGGTCGGCTCTGTGGGATACAAGGAAGGTGTCACAGCACTGGCTGGTCACCAGCCCAGGGAAGCGGGTCACCTTGGAGGCTGCTGCAGCCTGGACATGCTCTGGGCCTCTTGTTTTGAGCGGCCTTATGCTGATGGTGATCTCCAGATTTCTCCAAGGAAAGGGCACGGCGGGAACGAGCAGGTGGGAACAGAGGGAAACCTTGGGGCTTGCCGGTACCCAGGGCCACCCAGCAGGTCTCCTCCATCCAGCTGTGCCCTCCGGGGCCTTGATGATGCAGGAGCAGCTGCCGCAGGTGGTAGAACGGGTGCTTGGCACCTGCCAGCGGGACAACCCCGGGGGAAGGTCGGGGCCAAAGAGCCTGAAAACAGCAACTAGATGAGCAAAGGGCTCACAATGGTCGAGCGAGGGGAGCTGGGATGCAGCAGATGCATTTTGCCAGCCCAAGGTGTGTGCATTCGCGTGTTCATGTGCACATATGCATGCGTGTGCGGGGGGAAGGGGCGCCTGGGTGTGTGGGCACATTTATTGCCTCTTCCCGCCAGCGCCTGCTCCCTGTGCACACACAGGCGGCAGGAACCCAAGGGCACAGCCCAGGGCTGCCTGGACTTTTACCCGGCTGTGCAAACAGGCAGGCACCTGATTAGGGGATCAGTTGGAATTTCAGCCTGTCAACGGCAGCCGGGAAGCTCGCCAGCACCGGCGCCGGAGCATCTTCCCTCCACATGCAAAGTGTCCGTGCTGACGCTTCCAGCCCTGGTCCCGGCTCGTGCTGCAGCAGAGCAGCTCCCCTTCCAGCACGGAGCCGCTTGGAGCAAGACACTGCTGGCGCTGGTGACATTCGGGCTGGGAAGTGCCCAGGTCCCCAGGGCGCAGCGATGGGCAGCGAGGTCGGGAACAACCCTTTGCTCGGCCACCTCAGCATCCCGTCGCTGTGCCACCATCTCCTCCACCCACCAGGAACCAGGGCTTTATCCTGTCCCCGGTGTCCTTCCCGCGACAGCCCGTCACCCTCCACATGCACATCCTCACAAGCCAAAGCTTGGCATGTG